GAAAGCCCGTCTGCGCCACCGTGCGCAGGGAGGCGCCGGCTTGAAGCGTGTGTTGGCGTGCGCGCCTCGGCGCCGTGCGAAAAAGAAGCGCCGCTCAGGGGCATCCCCCGCAACGGCCCAGGAGAGGCAGACAACGGAACAGGTGCCAACTGTTCTCGCGGTCCGCGTGGAAGGATGCTACCGCTTGCTTGTGCGCCGCCGCTTGGGAGTTGAAGAGGGCCTGGAAATAACATTGGGGGGCGGTCTCTCTGGTCGCATCAAGACGGGCACCCTGTTGTGTAAGCCCCCAGGCCCTTTGTCCACGATGGAACCTGTCGATCAGCGGTGCTGACTATTCCTGCGTCTGGCGGAGGGAAGTCACCAGTTGTTTGACGCGCAGGATACATCATTGCTTGAATGCTTGCGGTGAGAATTGTCTCGCGGTCCTCTCGTCACTGGTCCCTGACCGCAGTGAAGTGCTGCGTGAAGGCTTTCTTCCAGCTCCAGTCGGTGCGATGCTCTGATGTCATTCGGTTGCCAGCACCCAGGTGGATGGTATTAGGGCCCTTGGTCCCAGCTCCCTGGTGGGACGGGGGAGGTGCCTGGTGGCAAGAAACGCTGCGTTGGGTTGGTGGGTGTGCTGTAGCTCTGGCCAGCCCAGCGGGTTGGGGCGGCGGAGTTGGCCCTTTGGGGCGCAGTCCGCAACCCTTCACCCACCATGCGCAGGTCCTCTCCCAGGTGGGTCGGGGCCGTACCACTTTCGTCGGTGTGTCTTTCGGCCGTGTGGACGTTTTCAGAATGACGTCTCTGTGGTGGGTTAACGCGATCGTCTTCGGCGTTGAAGGAAGCCCCAAGGCCAAGGGGGTCAAGGTCGTCCGCGGCGAAATTGTCTGCGTGCTGGTGGAGCAAAGGGTCGCTGAAGTCGTCGAACAAATCGGGACCTGATGGTTCTGCCGTGGGAGGTGGTCCTCCTTGTGCGTCAGTGCCTTGTCCTCCCAGAATGGTGGTGAGCGGGCTTACTTCCGTCGTGGAATATCCTGCAGGTCTGCGGGGATATAAGGAGCGTGCGGCGGCGCTGATCGTAGATGGTGACGGCTGTAGTATGTAAGACCGTGGCGAACTTGTGGCGCCATGTGATGCGGCCGTCGTTAGTACCTTGCTCTCCGAGGTGACTATCGGTTTCCAGTTGTTTTTTTTGTTTTTGTTTAAAAAAGAGTATTAGTATTAGTAGTATCAAAAAAAGATCGGGCTTGGCCTCTACTACCCGATTTGTGTTGGGCCAGATGTCCGATTGCGGTCCAACGCGCTTAGGCGGTTTACTCCAGAGAAGGTCTTAGAACTCGTCAACCACAGCTTAGTTGTCCACGAAAGCGCGCACGGGCCGTTCGGCAGTGTTCACGAGGTGCAGCATGGCAAGAGTTTCGGCGTGTTGCGCGGACTGCGCAAGGCCGTGCACTCGTGCGGAGTGGTTGGGCCGGTGGTCCAGCCCATAAAGCACCCCGAAGCCCGCCCTGGCCAGGAGGGGGCGGGCTTGGTTAGAGCATGCACCTTCGGTGGCGGAGAAGCCCCACTGGGCGCCGTATTCATCGGTGTATTCCTCGTAGTCGTCGTCATCGGCGTTCCTTTGGGACTGTCTGGGCATGGGCTGTGGGAGCTCGTCCTCCGCCAGGGTGGCCTGAAGGTCGATCAGGGTGGGGTCCTCTCCAAGGAGGCCGCAGTGCTTGATGTGTGGTGGGGGAGCCTGCCGTTGCTGCTCGGTGATCATGGCCTTGAGCGCCGTCTTCTGGTCAGCCCAGCAGTGCCATCTCCAGACGGTGCGCTCCTGGGTTTCTTCTTCTTGTTCGCACCACATGCACAAGGGTGATGGGTCGGCCGAGATCCGACTTTAGCTTTCTTCTGTTGGGTGTGGTCACGCCCCGGGGGGGCCAACATCCTTCCCAAACCTTTCGGGGAGCAGTGCTTTTCGCCTTCTCGCCTGCTCGCTTCCGAAGGGCTGCTGAAGCCTTGGGATGGTTCCCAAATGCGCCCTCACATGGCCTCGAGAAGCTCCAGTCGAGCCCCACGGTGTTCCCAAGATGCCTCTCCAGAGCGTGGCTGCATGCTGCTACGCATCCCTGATCAGGTCACCTTGTGAATGTTTTTGGATGGGCTTGGGGGTACTTTTTGGTACGCGGGCGCGGGAAGACGAGTCGAACGCCGAGCAAGCTTGTGGGGATACTTTTGGCCCGCAAGCTCGCGAAGCAAGTCGAAAGCCGGGAAAAACTAGGGCTTGTGGGGATATTTTTCTGTCGCAGCCGCAGGCGAGGGCGCCAGCGGCGAGTCAGGTCCGAGCGGGCCGCGCAGGAGCCGAATTGCCTAACGCCGACGGGCCGGCGACCTCAGCAGCGCCTCGGCGGGCGGGCCGGCGTGAGGGGGGCGCAAGCTGCAGCTGCCAGGGACCAGGTCCAGGAGCGCGCACATGCAAGATTAGCCAACCAGGGTTGGGGCGCAGCCAAAATGGCGCGAGGGTCGTACCAGGATGTGACCAGGGAGGCAACCAACCAGTACACTGCGTCGACTGCCATGGGTGCTGATGCTGGCCCAAACTGGTGCATGGGGTGGCGCCACCGAAGTCGCACACCAAGTCTCCTGAAGGGAGTACTGATCCTGCGAACGACCGTCCACGGGATGGTCCCAGGGACGAGCGAAGTAGCCAGGGCAACGATGGATGTAATCGACACCGTAAAACGCCTGAACCACCAAGTCAGGTAAAGCCACGCGCACTCTCGAGCAGAACCGCCGACTCAGAACTGACCAGACCAGGGAGATCCACGCCTCAGCACCGGGGCGTGGAGATTTTTACCTAACAGCTTTTGCTGATAGGTTTCTAGTGGGATCAAAAGAGAGCATCTTGACGCCCCAGGGGGGTCTGGGCGGGATCCGGACACGTCTGGCAGCCCCAGGGATCCCTAGGAATCATCAGGAATTCGGAGAATCTTTAGGAATCCATTCCCAGAGCACCATTCCCAGGCCACATTTTGAATGCCCGGAGCCAACTGTAAGCCACTTCGTGTTCTTGGTGTTCCCAGAACACCACTCCCAGACCACATTTTGAATGCCCAGGGCCAACTGTAGGCCACTTCGTGTTCTTCGTCTTCCCAAGCAACCGTTCCCAGGCCACATTTTGAATGCCCGGAGCCAACTGTAGGCCACTTCGTGTTCTTCGTCTTCCCAGAACACCATTCCCAGGCCACATGTTGAATGCCCGGAGCCAACTGTAGGCCACTTCGTGTTCTTCGTCTGAACACCACTCCCAGGCCACATTTTGGAAGCCCGGAGCCAACTGTAGGCGCGGCTGAGGCTGAGGCAAGCTGCGGCTAAGGCTGATGCAGGCTGAGGCTGAGGCAGGCTGAAGCTGAGGCTGAGGCAGGCTGAGGCTGAGGCTGAGGCCGATGCAGGCTGAGGCTGAGAGGCTGACGCTGAGGCTGGCCGAGGCTGAGGCTGAGGCCGAGGCAGGCTGAGGCTGAGGCTGAGGCTGAGGCTGAGGCAAGCCGAGGCAGGCTGAGGCTGAGGCTGAAGCTGAGGCAGGCCGAGGCTGAGGCTGAAGGTGAGGCTGAGGCAAGCTGCGGCTGAGGCAGGCTGAGGCTGAGGCTGAGGCTGATGCAGGCTCAGGCTGAGGCAGGCTGAGGCTGAGGCTGAGGCACGCTGAGGCTGAGGCTGAGGCCGATGCAGGCTGAGGCCGAGAGGCTGACGCTGAGGCTGAAGCAGGCTGAAGCTGAGGCTGAGGCCGAGGCAGGCTGAGACTGAGGCTGAGGCATCCCGAGCCAGGCTGAGGCTGATGCTTAAGCTGAGGCAGGCCGAGGCTGAGGCTGAGGCTGAGGCTGAGGCTGAAGCAAGCTGCGGCTGAAGCGGGCTGAGGCTGAGGGTGATGCAGGCTGAGGCTGAGGCAGGCTGAGGCTGAGGCTGAGGCAGGCTGAGGCTGAGACAAGCTGAGGCTGAGGTTGAAGCAGGCTGAGGCTGAGGCAGGCTGAGGCTGAGGCCGAGGTTGGCGAATCCTTCGGAATCCTTAGGATTCCGTAGGAATCCTGAGGAATCCCTAGGAATCCCTCGGAATCATGATTCCTAAGATTTCCTAGCGATTCCTATGGATTCCTAACGATGCGTAGGGATGCCTTAGGATTCCGTAGGAATCCTTAGGATTCCATTGGATCCTAAGGCCGTTGCCACTGCGACTGTCATTGCGAATGCGACTGCGACTGCGAGAACAGCAGAATTCTACAACTGGATTCTCACCTGAAACTTAAGGGGAATGCTTCCAGATATGCTTATACACATCGCTGTTAGGTTGCTTTGCCGGGATAATTTTTAGTCAGCGGCCGCAGGCGAGCGCGCCAGCGGCGAGTCCAGTCAGAGCGGGGCGCGCAAAGACGACTTGACCTAAAGCGGTGGGCCACTTGTGGGGATACGCGAAGCGTCAATAATTTGTCTACGCCCTCGCCAACCGCCGTCCTGTGCCCGACTCACGTTCGTCTGCTCTTGCTCTGTAACTGCAAGCTTTTGGCCGCACTATCAAAACCAGAGGGCGGAGGGGACAAGGAAACAGAGCGTTCGTAGCGGACGAAACATGGTATTACATACACACAACTTCCGCCTTCGAGGACACCTGTCCCAGGGCGGCTGGAAAGCTTACACCCTCACGTGCCACGGTGGGAATGGGAACTTCCCAGCTTCCCTGGGACAAGCGCCAACACGGCGGAACACTTAGTCAGTCTTATGTCGCTGATACTTCAACGACACTCAGGAAAACGATGAGGATGAGGGAGAAGGACAGTGGGTGACCAGCTAAGGGGGGGAGTATCGAGCTTGAAGCGACGATCCATCGCCGATAGATCGGTGATATGCCGCAGAACGAGAAACTGCACGGTCCTGGAATGGGTGGGTATCAAGCCCAACCGGCGAGGAATGGGCGTCTGGGGAGAGATGCGATCCCCCCCGCACCTATCCCCCCCTTAATGTTGTCCCTGACAGGAAGATGCTCCTTTCTCGCCGGGACAAAGGCGAGGACGCCCGATAGTGGTCCCAGGAAGCCTCAAGCGAGCATTTCCCAGCCCTCTTGCTCCGGGGCCTCGAGCTCCATGCGCGCGGGGTCGCAGCGCAGCCACAGGCGGAGCAGGAACGGCTCCTCAGCCTCTATGGATGCCTCCCACAGCGAGGGCACGAACGCGTAACTGCCAGGTGCTTTCAGCTTGAGCCGCAAATGGACCTCCCTCCGACGGCTGATCATCGAAAACCCTCCTGGCTTGACGATCCGCTTCTTGTCGAGGAAATCTAGCCGCTGGCCTGGCGCGTCCAGCCCGTGGCAGCTTAAGAAGAGCTCATGGAAGCGGTCGTCGAATGGGAAGGTCGACCCGGGCACCATCCGCGCGTCGCGCTGCTGCAGCGTCGCGAAGACCTACGGATGACGTGGGCCCTTGGGGCTGTCTACCCCTTCCGTGGGGCCAAGTTCTTCATCCTGGATTGTGAATGAGAACCAGCCGTCTTGATCTGTTCCTTGATGCCAGATCTGAGGGCCACCAGAGGTCTCCGAAGTTTTGCAAATTTCACGCGGTCCCAGGAGGCTCCCAGAGGTCGAGGCCAGAGGCCGCAGAGGAACAATCCTAACGCCCCACGCCCCAGTTCCCGAGTGGGATAGCAGCAACATAGCACCCGAGTCTGCCTGAGGCGTGGCTCCCGCGGCCCCCTTCTGGCTTCAGAACGCCCCCACTGGGGCGGTGGCACTGTAGCCTGGCTTTCGCAGCCAACCAGCTTGGAAGCCGTGCAGAAGCCACAGCACCACTCCGGGAACCACGGCCGACGTCGCTTGGCGCGGCCCGCACAGCATGCCGCTGTCTTGCCATCACCTGGTCTCCAACAAGACTGCAGTCGGACCTAGGCCAGAAAAAAAAACATCCCTCAAGAACATGGGACCCTCCGTCGGCCAAAACAAACAATACATCCAAAGGTACCTTCCAAAGGATGCACAAGAACATCCAAGAACCACGAAGCACACTGGGGCACCCTCCCCGAACCGACCTCGATCTTATACCTCGGCCCGACTGTATCGGCCCTCGGATCCGAGGGGACCTCCACGTGCGCGGCCTCCCCGCCGCCCAAAGCGAGGCGGCACTGCGGGTTCCGGGCCCAGTCCTCCTGGGTGGAGAGTGGCGCCGGGCGGCCCCGGAGGCTGGCGGCGCGCGCACGGGGGTGGCGCGACGGGGGGCGGGCGTCTCCTCGGAGGCGGGGGCGCTTCCAAAAAGGCAGGTGGCTTCCCAGAAGCCCTCCGGGCTTCTCCGAAGTCTTCGTGGAAGTCTCTGGGCGCTTCCAAGAAGGCCCCCTGCGGGTTCAGAGGCCCCGCCGCCTTCTCAGAAGGCCGCCCCCCTCGCGCCACCCCCCTGTGCGTGCCGCCAAATGGGGAGCGGGGTGCCGCCGCACGTGCCCTGCGTCCACCGGCCCCGCCACGCCCTGTACGCCCAACCGTTCTCGGGCGTCAGCGGCCTGCTCACGGCGAGGTAGCCGAAGACCTGCAGCCAGTCCGAGAACAGCATGAAGAACGTGCCGTCGTGGTCGCCGCGCGGCACGGCCTGGCCTGGCCCACCATCGAGCAGCGCCTGCCGCCGGAGCACCCTGCCGCAGTCCCTCGGCCTCCCGCGCGGCGGCAGCAACGAGTGCGGCCCCGAGGCGGGCACGCCGGCGGCCCCAGAGAGGAGCTGGTCTGCGACGCCAGGGTCGTCCCTCCAGGCCGCGTGCTCGTCACCCCAGCGCCCGCCCCAAGCGTGGCCCCCGCAGAAGCCGGCCGCGTCGTGCAGCCGCACAAGGCGCACGCCTTCGCCGGTCCGCGCCCGCACCTCCGCCAGCTGGAGCACCGGGTACGCAGGGCTGCGGTGCACGCCGGTGCAGAACGGCGTCGGGCCTGACAGGCCCACTGTGTCGGCGTCGACGTGCACCAGCAGCTCGTCCGGTGCGGGCTCCGCCCCTGCGCCAGAGGAGGCCGCCCGGCAGACCAGCAGCGAGCCGGCGGACAGCTCCTGCCTGAGGCTTTCGAACAGCCCATCATCGCTGGGCTCCTGTGACTTCTCCCCAGGGGCGCCGCCCCCACCGACACCGCGCTGGGGCAGCCGAGTCATCTCTGTGGGCCACCCCGTCAGGTCCTCCAGCGCGTGGTCCACGACGCCCGGGCACAAGGCCGCGTAGCTGCCGTGGAGTTTGGCGAACGCCTTCTCGACCAGAGGCGCCCACAGCGGCGGAACGCCCTCGTCAGGGCGCAGGGCGGATATGCCCAGCGGCAGCCGGGAGGACGAGAAGCACGGCAAGCGGTCGTCGATGATCACGTACAGCCACTGGCCGTGCTTCGTGAAGCGGAAGCAGTACAGGCCGCGCCTCCGCATCTCGGGGTCCCAGAACAGGCGTGGGAACACCCCGAGCGGCTCCTGGAGCCCGGAGGCCGCGCCCCCCAGCAGCAGCGGCTCGCGCAAGGCCAGCGCCCCGAGCGCGCTGGCCAGCCAGCCGTTGTCGAACGCGCCTGGCTCCACGGCGCAGAGGGGCCCCGCAAAGCGGACCTCGCCCCGCTCCTGCCACTCGTGGGGCCGCAGCCAAGCGACGTCCTCGGCGCGCGGTGCTGCCGCCTCTGGCGGCAAGCACTCACAGCTGAGCGCCGCGGCGCCCAGCGGGTCGGAGGGCCTTGGTCCGAAGTCGGCGTCCTCGAAGAGCCCCGTGGGCTCCAGCGCGCCGAGAAGTACGTACGCGCGAGCCAGCGCGGCCTCCAGCGATGTCAGCACTCCGGGGCGGCCCTCGAAGCAGGCCGAAGACAGGTCCACGCTGGGGGCGGCAGCGGCCGAGCGTGCGGCACGGCCAAGCCTCTCGGCGTCAGGGGGCAGTCGTGCAAAGGCTTCGGCCAGCTGGTCCTGGAGCGGGGGCGGCAGCGCTGCGCCGCCCGCGCGCTCCTCGGGGGCGACGGGCTTCGTGTGCCACGCCACCGCGCCGGCTGCTGCTTGTGACACCCCGGGCCTCGACAGCGTCGGGGTCACCCTGGGGTCCTGGGTCACCTGCGCCGCGGCGGCTGGTTGCTGCTGCCTGGGCCGGGGCGGGGCAGCGGGCACAGCCGCCGCCGGCGGCGCGCCGTCTCCCAGAGCAGCGCTCGGCGCGCCGTCGCCACGGCCGCCCTGCCCCTCTGGAGCGGCCGCGCGCGCCAGCGAGGCCCGGGCCGCCCCGTCGTCTTCTCTCTGGCTCGCCCGTGTCTCCGCCAACTCTGGCGAAACGCCCGTGCAGGAACGGTCGTGCTGGACTCCGGCAGAAGCTGCTCCAGATCTCACACCCTGGTGAGCCTCTTCTGACCGGTCCTGGTAGACAGCGCCGCCGCGATCAAGGCCATCCTTGAACAGCGCCCGCAAGAAGTGCCGGAACTGCTCCAGGGACATCACTCGCTGGTGTTTGTCGCAGTGCACCTCCCAGGCCGCCGCCACAGCGTCGCAGTTCGCGGGGCGGCCGAGCGACTCCAACAAGCCCCTGGCCATCGGGAAGACGTCAGGGAGCGTCAGCTGGCCAGACCCCTCCCGGTCGTAGGCCTCGAAGGACTGCTCGCACAGAAAGTCGAAGGTGGCTGGGTCTTCAAGGATCCTCTCGACCTGGTGTCGTGTTCGTCGTCGTCGTCGCCGCCGTCATCGTCGTCGTGATCGTCGTCGTCGTCGTCGCCGTCGTCGTCGTGGTCGTCGTAGTCGGCGTCGTGGTCGTGGTCGTGGTCGTGGTCGTGATCGTGGTCGTGATCGTGATCGTGGTCGTGGACGTGGTCGTGGTCGTGGTCGTGGACGTGGTCGTGGTCGTGGTCGTGGTCGTGGTCGTAGTCTTGGTCGTGGTCGTGGTCGTGGTCGTGGTCGTCGTCGTCGTCGTCGTCGTCCTCGTCGCCGTCGTCCGTCGCCGCTGCCGCCGCGGCCCTAGCCGTCGCCGTCGCCGTCGCCGTCGTGGTCGTCGTGGTCGTCGTGGTCGTCGTGGTCGTCGTCGTCGTCGTCGTCGTCGTCGTCGTCGTCGTCGTCGATGTCGATGTCGTCGTCGTCCGTCGCCGCTGCCGCTGCGGCCCTCGCCGTCGCCGTCGTCGTCGTCGTCGTGGTCGTCGTCGTCGTCGTCGTCGTCGTCGTCGTCGTCGTCGTCGTGGTCGTCGTCGTCGTAGTCGTCGTCGTCGTCGTCGTCGTCGTTGTCGTCGTCGTCGTCGCGGTCGTCGTCGTCGTCCGTCGCCGCTGCCGCCGCGGCCCTCGTCGTTCGTCGCCGTCGTCGTCGTGGTCGTCGTCGTCGTCGTCGTCGTCGTCGTCGTCGTCGTCGTCGTCGTCGTCGTAGTCGTGGTCGTGGTTATGGTCGTGGTCGTGATCTTGGGCGTGGGCGTGGTCGTGGTCGTGGTAGGGGTCGTGGTCGTGGTCGTGGTCGTGGTCGTGGCCGTGATTGTGGTCGTGGTCGTGGTCGTGGTCGTGGTCGTCGTCGTCGGCGTCGTCGTCGTCATTGCCACCGCCGCCGTCGTCGTCGTCGTCGTCGTCGTCGTCGTCGTCGTCGTCGTCGTCGTCGTCGTCGTCGTCGTGGTCGTCGTCGTCGTCGTGGTCGTCGTCGTCGTCGTCGTCGTCGTCGTGATCGTCGTCGTGGTCGTCGTCGTGGTCGTGGTCGTGGTCTTGGGCGTGGTCGTGGTCGTGGTCGTGTTCGTGGCGGTAGTCGTGGTCGTGGTGGTGGTCGTGGTCGTGGTCGTGGTCGTCGTGATCGTCGTGGTCGTGTTCGTGTTCGTGGTCGTGACTGTTATCGGTCGTGGTCGTCGTCGTCATCATCGTCGAAAATCTCGCCCCGGGGCTCGCCTGGGCGCGCGCGAGCCTCGCTTTCGAGACCGGAGACAGCGCGGCGACGCGGGCGGCCGCCTCTCGGGTCGGGGTGGGCGGACGCGTGCGCGCGCGAGCGTGCGGGTGGGAGCGGGTGAGGGTGTGGCAGTGGGCGGTTGGGCTTTGGGGCGATGTGGTGAGTGCGGGGTGACCCCCGACGGCTTCATCTCCCTCCCCGAGCTGGCGAAAGATCTCCCCGAACCTCCCCTTCCCCTCCGGCGCCCAGCCTCCTCCTCCTCCTCTTCCTCCTCCTCCGCTGACGGCTCTGGGGCCCGACACGGGCCGTAAGAGGGCTGGCAGTAGCGAAAATCCGCCGACCCTTTCGGCGTGTGGACCCCCTGTCGGCGTGCGCTCAGTCGACGCATCCGTTGTCCTCTTTCCCTGCGCCTCCGTTGTCCCCTTTCCCTGCACCCTCCTCTTCAAGCCTGCCAGCGAGGAAAAACGTAGCAACGTCGTACTTAAGTCGAAGGGAAACCCCTTCCCTTTGATCCCTCCCCCGCCGAGGGAGGGGAGGGTCAAGGGGGGGGAAGGTCAGATACGCATCCGCCCCTGGGTGTCCCGGAGGCCAAAAAGCGCCAAGACGCGCCAAGAGCAAGAGTGCCCTACGAGGCCCCCAAGAAGGTCCAAGACTGCCCCGACTCGCCGAACGATCTGTCCAAGACGCCTTCGCGGTTTCCAGACGGGTCGAGAAGCGTGAGCATTTTTTTTTTTTTTTTTTTTTTTTTTTTTTGTTAATATATATATATATATAAGTTCTCCTTCGCACCACATAAGAACAAGGGTGGGATCAGCCCGCAGGCCGTGAAGGGAGAACACGACGTCCAACAGACTACACGCCTAAAGTCGCGGATAGGCCGGTGCACCCAAAATGAGGATGTCAATCTTATGTTGTTCCGGCTTGCCGCCTCCCGCATGCACACGAAAGTGGACAAATAGAAATCATAAAGTGGCTGGCCGGGCAGACGTCACCACGTTGGGGGGGAGGCGGAGGGGGAAGAGGATAGAAAGAGAGGAGGGGGCAGCGAGACTAACCAAAAACTCGCGCGTGCGTAGGCCGACATAGGTAGACCGGCACCCGCACAGAAACCCTCGCGAGCACGAGCGACTGGAGGACGGAGGGGGAAGGAGGAGGAGGAGGGGAGGAGAGGGAAGACACAACCAACTCTGGAGCTAGAGGCGGGTCGGCCTGTCCACGGGCAAGCACCGCGGAACGTGCCGTCTGGGACGCGGAATCGCGCAATCGTCTTTGCAAGGTCTATGTCAAAAGGCGCGGTGCGGGAATCTTCGAAAAAGACTGAACCCGGACCGAAGGCGCCGCGCGCGGGCGACGCCAAGGAGAGGAGGCGGCGGCAGAAACGGCAGGAGGAGGAGGGGGAGGAGGAGGGAACCTACTGCAACGGAACCCAAGCTCGAGCGAAGCAGCGCGTAACAGCGCTGCTCCCACGCAAAATCTCTCGGGCCATGTGAGACAACGCCTGCCACGCGATGGGCGCGGGCGAAGAACCGTGCCTAAAACGGCAATGCACGATATATATATATATATATATATATATATATATATATATATATATATATATATATATATATACAGCTGCGAACCGGACGGCCTTTCGCACTAAGACATCACGGGCGCACTCCGAATATCGAGGCTCCAGAACCAAGAAGTCGTCCATGACCGCGCTGCCGACTGGCGCTTCCAAGCGGCAAAAACGGGAGCCGAACTCCCGAACAACCGGGCAGAAGGCGTAGTGCTCGATGCTGTCCTCGCAACTGCAACCAAAAATGCATCCTGGGCTCCTGTCCTGGAAACGTCGTCGCGTGACCCAGCCATTCCACCATGTCTGGAGGACGGCTGCCCGAACCCGGGCCGGAAACACCGAGCTAAGGGAAGGGGGTGCCAGTAGCGCTCTCTCTGCCCGAACCCGTTCGAAAAGACACATCGTATAGCGCGCTGAACGTCTCCGCATGAACTGGTGCAGGGTAGCGTAGGCGGGCTGCTCCAGCGCTGATCGGCATGACTCCTGCCAGTGACGACGAGGAACGAGCTCCTGCTCAGGGGGCGGCCGGCCGGCGTGCCCCAACATGCGCCGCTGAACTTGCGGAGGCGATAAGCCCGCGTGCTCGAAGTGGCCCATGGCGGAATCCAGCTGCAATATGAAGACAGTGCTGCGAAACCAGGAAGCCATGGGCACTCATTTCCAGAGATCCCCGCAGGAGGACACAGCGCGACGGAGGGTGCGAGCACGAGCGCGAACGTCCAATCCTCCATGCAACTTGTTTTCGAACATCGCCATCCTGTATTTTGCCGCCAACGAGTAGCTGTCCAAGTCGAGGAGCCCCCCCTGGAAGCCCATGTGCTGCAGCGCCCGCAATTCCGGAACCGACGCCCAGCATCGTGGCCCCGGAAACAGCTTGGGCGCCGCTACTTGCTCCGCGGCGGCCCACTGGGGCGGCGGGGAATCCAGTTGGGCGACGAATAACACAATAGAAAAGCTGTACGTCCTGTACGCAAGAAGCGTCAGCTGGAGACCGCAGCCCACCTTGCCCCAGGCAGCCGCCCGACTCCCAAATTTCCGTAGAGGCTTGTCCCACGAGGTCGTGCCTCTGCCAGGTCCAAGGGCGAACCCCAAGTACTCCGCCGAAGTCGCAACCCGCACTCCTCCCCAGGAGGGCGCAGCGCGCGCGAGCCGAGCCCGGAAGTCGCCGAGGTCCTCCATGTGCAAAGGGGCGATCGTAGTCTTCCCCAAGTGTAGGTGTAGACCGGAGATTAATGCGTACTCCTCGAAGATGGGTTCCAGGGCACTCAGGTCGCCAATGCCTGCCCGGGAGACCAAGGCGAGGTCGTTGGCGTACGCCCGCAGGTCCGCTGACGGGAGAAGCCGGCCCAGTCGGCGAAGCAAGAGGTCTGCCGCGACTGCAAATAGCAGTGGAGAGAGCGGGCATCCTTGACGAATGCCGGCGGTAATGGCGAACCCCTCGTGGCGGACACCTCCGGCAACGATGCTGCAACGGTTCTGGAAGTACAGCGCCCGGATGAAGCCGAGGATGAAATCAGGGAGCCCGATATGCGCGAACAGGTCCATCATGAACGTGTGGTCGACGCTGGGGAACGCCGCCTTGAAGTCGAACATAACTGCGAAGCCGTCGTCGTAACCCAAAGCTGTGTGCTGCGTGATCTCATCGATGTCGATGACGTTCGCCAGCGTGGAGCGCCCGTCGATGAACCCGCGCTGCTTCGGGGACACCCATGTCGCCAAGATTGGCTCGATTCTCAATCGAACCGCGCTCGCAAGGATGCGATTGTCAAAGTTCGTGACTGTGATCGGCCGGGTGTGCTCCGGATCGTAGTACTCACCCATGGCGTCGTCGAAACCCGAGACTTTCTTCGGAATAAAGAAAATGAGCGCCTCGTTGAACGAGCTGTACTCGGCTTCCAACAGAGCGAGACCTCCTGGCCCCGACATTGCAGTCAATGCTTCGTGCAACACCTTCTCGGCCAAGGGGCCGAGGGCTCTCCGCGCCGAGGCGGGGATGCCGTCCGGGCCAGGCGTGGAGGACCCAAAACGTTCCAGAGTTTTCCTGACATCGCCGCGGGAGGGCATCCACCGAGAAGAGGACGACGGATACGAACTGAATCTGCGAGAAAGGTCTTCGGCGAGCCACTGCGCTCGGAGAGCGAGGTCCGTAGGCCGCGCTCGGAAGACCTCGGCCCAATGGTTCCGGAGGTCCGAAGCCATATCCTCGGGGCACGTGTGGATCTCGCCCCCAATCCCTCGCGTGGCCCACAGAAACTTGCCGCTGCCCGGCACCAATCGGCTCGCCCGGCGGATTGTCGCCTCCTGGTCCGAAATGTTTACGAGGTCGTCCCGGAGCTGAGTAAGTTCCCGAACGGCGTGATCTCGAGCGAGGGCGACGGCGTGCTGACGAACACCGGCCAACGCACCGCCCTCCCGGAGAGAGGCGCAATACGGGTTGTGCACCAACTCCTTGAGGTACGGGTGAGCGGATATGCATTTCCCAATGCTGCTGAAAGCGGAATTCTCCACCGCGCGAATGAAACGCATCGTGAGCCCCAGCTTGTCCTCGAGGTTCTCCGCGGCGGAGTTCTGGCCGTCGAACGCAAGCTCCTCCGATGCCTCCTGCATGGCCTGCTTCAGAAGAGGCAGTCGGGCGACCGCAGAAAGTCGCGCAAACTCGTGGCACCGCAAGCTCACTCTCTGCGGCCAGCCCGGTCGGCTTGCGATGTCCGCCGGGATGGGGCGGGGCCCGAGGCCTGGTTCCCGGGCAGAGCGGCGCTGAAAGAACATGGCGCGATGGTGCGAGAGGTGAAGAACCCACTCCCTCACTCCAGCTGTGATCTGTCGATCGAGGAGCTCGCTGCCGTCCATGTTCGTATAGACTCGATCTAGACGAGACCTGGCCTGAGCGGAGTCGTGAGTCATGGCGGCTTGGTGCATCTCCCGGAACTTCGGGCGCAAACGTCTCCAATCGGCTTCTTCGGATCAGTCCCGTGCCCCAGCTGCCCGAGCGCTGTTCTTGGACACGCGGTCATGGTCATCCACGACCCAATTGAAGTCCCCGCTGATGATGGACAAGCTGCCCCTCCCTTCCCGACGCTCCGGGCCACGGAAGCACGGAGTGCGGCTCTTTGACGACGAAGGGAAGCATGGAGTTCGTCTTGACTGGGAGAAGCGCCCTCAGGGGGCCTTAGACTCGGAGCATGGCCAGTCTGGAAGTAAACGACTACGAGCTCCAAAGTGCCCTGTGAGCCTGCGAGACGGAGTCGTGCAGCGCGCCCTGGAAGGATGACCTGCCAGTCGAACTCCGTGAACTTGTCGAGGAAGCTCTGCCGAACCAACATCCCGACCCCAGCGGACTGCGCAGTACCGTGCGACCACCATGCCTGGCACCCCTGTGGAGGTAGAGCTAATGGCAAGGAGTCTTCCGTGCCATGCGTCTCGGTGATCGTGATGACGTCGTGCTAGCATGCGAGGCGGCAGAGGCAGGACCACTTACGGCCGTGGGTCGCGACGCCCGCCGCGAAGAGCGCCTGGGCATTCCAGGTGGCCAGCGAAACATCTCCTTTGAAAGGGTAGCGAAGCGGGGCGCCTGCCAGCGCGGCCCCCTCCCTCCAAATGGGCCCACTCGGCGGGGCAGAGGTAGCGGGGAGCGCCCGCTGCCGAAGACCGAGAGCCCGGCGAAGTCGGTGACTTTGAAGAACGGTGAAGGGCACGTCCGAGCGTCCATGCGCATGAAGAGCGTGCTCCTGAGTAGTAGGTGGGATACAAGAGGGGAAAGATGAACGTGATGCTGTAGATCGGAAGCGGCGGCAACTGCGGCAGATGTCAAATTAGCTTCCCCGGTGACGTTGGCCATGGAGGTCGCGCCGATCGGAATGGGCAGGAGTTGCATAACGACGTCGACGAGGAAGTACAGGCATCCGGAGCGGGAGACCGCCCACGATGCCCCTGCAGATGCATGCAAATTCTCATCCAAAAGGGGGGAGGCGATCAGAGCACCGCCTCCCCCCGGCCATTTCCCGTCCGAGCCTGGACCACGTTCACCTCAGCGAGGTCGTTCGAGACCTTCAGGCCCACCTGGTCCGAGCCGACGCGCACAGCCTTCCCCTGCTGAACCTTCCGCACGTCCGCCTCGCACTCCAGGTACAAGCGGACTCGCCCTGGGGGGCGTGAGGATCTGTCTTGGCTAGCCAGCGCCAGCACCCGGCAGAAGTGTCATTCCCCGACGCATCGGAGAAGCAGACACCAGCCTCCGTCGACAAGGGAGCCATCAAGTGCTGGAAAACCTCGTTCTCGTCGGCGCTGGCCGCACCTCGGATCTCGGCGTCGGTCACAGACTCGAGCCTGGCCGCCCTGCGGGTACGAGGGGCCCGGGTGCGCCGGAGAGCAGCGAGCTGCTGCGCAGTCGCCGACGGAACGGCGTACTCGCGCCCACCGTGTCGCGACGGCTTCCACTGCAGCTTCAGGATGGCCGTTCCCGTATCCTCCTGCAGGGCTTTGTCTAGCACAGGCTGCCAGGTGTCCGCCTCCGCCTCAGTCAAAAGCAAAGCCTTTTGCGAGGACAGAAGTATGAGCCCGCTGCACAACGGCCAAGCTTTGCAAGCGGCCGATGGGTGAGCGAGGTCCGCGATGAGCGCCGCCGGGTCCGAGAACATCGCGTGGGAGCCGTAGAAGGAGTCCGGGGGGAGCGCCGCGCTGCGGACGCGACGCATGCGGAGTTCCTGCTCCAGGGCCGAGATGCTCCTGTGAAGCCGGATCTCCACGATGGTTCTTGGAGCATCGGCAGTGTGGCCTGGGCTACGAGAGACCCGGCCAATCGCAGCTCCGCTCATCCCGGGGTCCTCCATGAAGGCGTACACGATCGGCAGGGCCACAACGGGGACGTCGAGTATGTAGGGCGGCTGCTCCTCGATGGAGGAGATGGGGTCCTCGGTGTGCAGCATCCTCGGGAGGATCTTGGGGAGTGACGGCGAGATGACGAAGATCGCAAGGCCGTCAAAGCGATGTCGTGGTCCAGCGGGTCCTGGAGTGATGAGCTCCATGGGCAAGCGGATGAACTCGACGCGCTTCACCAGCGACGGAGTCGCCCCTTTCTCGCTGAGGAGCGGGTGCCACCAAAGGTCGCGCAGCGCCTCGACCGAGGAGCATTTCGGGTAGACCTCCAAAGGCGTGATCATGCGGATGTACTGCGGGACCGAGTTGCTACTGCTGCGCTTCAGCATGGCGTTGAGAAGGCGTCCGAGTGCCGAGTGGTCCGCTGGGGCCCAAATTGTGACAAGGGCGTTCTGGATGCCATCCCAGTGATTTCCTACGCGTTTTGGAACGATTTAGGCTTTCTGGCCTCTTGCGCTTCCCGACGATCAAAACCGGCCCAAGAGGCTTGCAAGAACACCTCGAAAGGGCCCCAGAGGTCTCTAAGAGAGCCCCACAAATGCCCATCCCTCGGCCCACATGGGGAACATCTCCTTCGCCTTCTCCTGCTCCCTTCCACCTTAATCCCCCTCCTCCTCCTGCTCCTCCTCCTCCTCCTCGTCCTCGTCGTCGTCGTCTTCAGGGTCGGCGGCACCGGCCGTAAGGCCTTCGCAATCCTCCCCGATCAACGGTATAAAATAAACGTTTCCGCCAGCGGGAACGCCTGTTACAAGGCGGCTGGGAAACGTGTATCTCGATGTGACGCCGTAAGGGTAGAAACATTCCAGCCGCTTTTGGGGAGGCGTCCTCGATGGTGGATACGATGATCTCATGCCGTTCTTTGTCCGCTACTCCCACCCTTCCAGCGCCGGGGGAGCAGGGGGAAGAGAGAGGGGAGGAACAGGGGGGGTGAGGAGGGGGAGGAGGAGGCGGGGGATGAGGGGGAAGAGGAGGGGGGAGAGGAAGGGGAGGAGCAGGGGGAGGGGGAGGAGGAGGCGGAGGAGGAGGAGGAGGGGGAGGAGGAGGGGATGGGAGGACAAGGGTGGGGAAGCTTGGGCGGAGAAACACAGAACGGACCAAGGCGCTTCAGCTCTCTACACCTTTTCCATGGTGCCGTATGGATGGGCGCCAAATCACACTACGACAGATTTTGTGCCCTTCGGTCGGTCGGGCAAATTGAGCAGTTGGGAAAAATGGCAAGCCTGGTGGTGTGTCTCGGAAGGGCATCCTCCGATCGTTTGGCCCGGCCTCTCTCTCCTCGAAATTCTTCCGAGACCCACCGTGCCTGATGTGGCCCAAAATCTTCTTCACTGCGAAACGGACTGGGGGTATGAGGCCTGTTGCGATCTTGCAATTCCATGCTCGGGGGTCTTTGCGCCGTCTATGTCAGTCCGAGCTGCAAGCCTGGCAGCAAATACATTTCAGGAATTTGCGGTGGGGGGCACAGGGCAAAGCTGCCGGTAAGTGATCCAACGTTGCCCTACCCCCCCCCCCAATGCACGTGGGATCGAGCCCCCACCCGCTGGATGGGTACGCCCGTGAGCCTCGCGAAGGCCTCTTTGAATGGGATACCTCCCCCCCCCTGTGGTCGAGGCCCTGTGGGCGTGGCGTGGTGGAGGGTGACGGTGCACCCCCCCTCCCTCCCCCCGTTGGTGTGAGATGGCTCGTCGTCGTCGAGGTCGTGGTCGTGGTCGTGGTCGTGGTCGTGGTCGTCGTCGTCTTCCGTCGGCGGCGGCGGCGGCCGCGTCGGCGTCGGCGTGGGCGTGGGCGTGGGCGTGGGCGTGGGCGTGGGCGTGGGCGTCGTCGTCGTCGTCGTCGTCGTCGTCGTCGTCGGCGTCGGTGTCCGCGTCGTCGTCGGCGTTGGCGTTGGCGTCGGCGTCGGCGTCGGTGTTGGCGTCGTCGTCGTTCACCCTCCCCCCATCTGGGGGGGGGGGGGCTGTGGAACCCTGGGGCCCATCCCGTCTGTGTGGGGGGGGAAAGGGGGTGAGGTGGCCTGTGAACCTCGAGCTGGGACCATAAGTGCGTCTGGGTGCAAGCCGAATGGGCTCACAGCCACGGGATGGCGTCGGTGACCTTCAAGAGGCATTTGAGCTCATTCAGCACCACCGCCTAGTGACCGCCGCAGAACGCACGGGTTTCCCGATGCGGCTTTTGGATATCACTGTCACGCTCCCTAGGCAGCTTCGCATCTTGGCCATGGGAACCTTTGCGTCCGAAGGAGTCTTCTCAGAGCAGAGCGCGCACCCATGTTGCGTGTTTGTTACAATTATGCTGCAGTTGATTCCATAAGGCCGCTCGACGAAATTCGGACAGCGGTCCCGTCCATTGCGCTGTCGACGGTCGTCGCTGACAGCGGGCTCCAGCGTTTTGGAACAGAAGATCGGGTGTAAGCAAAGTTAGCTGTAGCAAGTACGGCCTTGAAGGCCCAAACATAAACACTCGACTTTGCCATTGCTCAGGGGAAAGTACGTTTTCCCGGGAGCACGGCCAGTTTGCGCACGACGCTTTAGTCTCAAGCGCGGTGTGCGAGTTGCAGCCCCCTTGCAACGAAGGTCCCTCAGAGGAACCTTCGTTGCCTATGGGGCCATACCTCGCGTACCGAGAGGAACTTTGGGGTCGATTTCGGATCGGGTCGGAGGCTGGAGAGGTGTACGAAGCGCGATCGCTCGCAGGCTGCGGTTGCGACGACAAGACGCCTCAAGATTTTGTGCAAGGCTACGCGTCGACGTCTGGTCACTCGTGTGACTAATGAAAGCCACGGTCGAAACCCATGTACGATTTGGTAGCAAGGCCACAAGCACCGGATGGAAAAGAGTTGCGGAGACCGAGGCAGTCGGTAGGCTCGCTCCTCTTCGCTCGCCCTCCGCCTCATCCCGACCCCTGGGGAGCGTGTTCACCATATTTTCAAGGCTTCCGCCAAGCCTTGGTGTGCGATGCTTGCAGCCCGGCATCAGGGCTGGGTGCCACAATATCTCCAAGGCCCGAGAGCAGGCCAGTCCGGGGGTTTGACGGAGCAGTGCTGGCCCATTCACGGCCTATGTGCTCACCTTGGCCAGAATTGGCATTTCCCTTGGGGCCTGGAAGTAATTCCGACCAAGTTTTGTGTGCACGGCCTCGAGGTTCTCATCGATCAAGCCTGTGAGGCCTGGCAATGGAAGCAAGCGAGCGTGTCTTTGCAGTGCTCTGAGTTCCCCAATCAGTGCTTGCACTGAAGGGGTCCTAGCGGATGTTGAAGGATTTAGCGAAAATTCCCAACCGATGTTGGTGGCAAGCTGGGTTCCCGGGTTCCCAAAGTCCTGGTCCCGGATTGCTGGGTTCCCGGTTCCGGGCCGATTTCGGAGGGCGGCGAGGTTCCCGGGTTCCTGGTCGATCTTCTTGTCGATCGGTCTCACCATCGATCTCATTACCGACTTCTCGATCGATCTCACCATCAATCTCACTATCAATCTCACAAGCGATCTCACTAGAGATCGCATGAGCGATCTCGCGATCGATCTCACTATCGATCTCATTGAATCGATTTCACTCTCGGTCTCACGATCGACCTTACAATCGTCCTCACTATCGATTCCACTATCGATCTCATCATCGATCTCAAGATCCATAGTATCATTTTTCAAACCATCCACTGATAGGGTTTTCTCAAATGTAATTAAAGAAATGGGCCCTCCTGGAGCCTGTCACACCTCTCTTAGGTCTAAGCTTGCCGCTCGTGGCAGCCAGTGGTCTCAGCAGCGCATGTTCGAGGCCAGTTATGCGGAGAGCCCAGACTGTCAGATTCGCAGGGATGAGGTGGGCACCCTGTGCCATGAGACTCTCACGTGCGCAGGGCTGGTCTCGGCTGGAATCCCTCCCCCAGGACCGCTTCGACGTGCTCCGCCCAGTGACCCGACCGAGCTAGTGATGCTGCTCGGACGCTGGGCCTTATCCCCTTCGATCGAACTCCAGCCATGCCTGAGCCATCTCCCGAGCACTTCTCCTCGGGAGATCGAGAGGATCTCACTGGCAATCGGTTTGTGGACGGTTTGCGATATGTCCCATGCCGCATGCTTGTTGCGCTGGATGGGTGGTGATTGCCATGCACCCTGACCCTCCACCCAAGGCCCTTCGTGCGTTCGCGGTCTTAGTCGTGTTCGGGGGAGGGGCCCATCCAGTGCTTAGACAGGGCTGAGCTCGTTACGGTGATGCAGGCCCTGCGTAACGCCATGCCGCCAGTTGAGATCCACACTGACCATGGTTTGGTGTGTGCGTCGCAATTGCGAAGGTTCCTGGGATTTCTTCCGTTTCGCCCGATGGTCTACGATGCCCGCAAAGACGAACTCCCCGCGTCAGCAGCCCCGAGGGGGGCGATGGCTCAGGCGGCGTTGAACTCCCTGCGCCCCCCCGCAGAAGCCCAGCAAGACACCCCGCTTGCGTGGTCACCGGGCGGGATCTCATAGGAGAGGGAACGGGCGTAGCCCAGCCAGTCATGCATCCCGTCAGTAAAACATATAGGGCCCTAAATCTCGGGCGGGATGCAACTCCCGCAATGCGACTGTCTCTTGTCGTTGTCTTGGGATCATCTTGCGAGTGTCTTGCGCGTTTTCAAGGGGTGTTTTGTTCCGACCAAGTAAGGGGTTCACGCGGCGTGGCCGTGCTGAGTGCTGCCCCCCTGGCAGTGCCCATGCTGATGTGTGGGAAGTAGCCTGGGAGTAGGTATATGACTCGACTAGGGTGGGTTGGGAACTCTCGCGGTGAGCTTTGTCAAGGTGAACGCCCATTCCACCCCCGATCAGCGTCGTAGCATCTCGCCCCTTAACTCTGACTGGGAGCAATTTTGCCGAAGAACGGGCGAAGAAGACGACGAAGCAAAGGCGCGTAGTTATCGCGCATTGGGTTCGTTCCCGCGACTCTTGTGCGCTGGTGGGAGCGTTCGGGGAACGGTTGGGCAGGGTGGGGGTCCAAGCAGCGCTAGACACCGAGCGCCTCTCCTTCGGTGACCTCAGGCAGGCGCGCGAGAGGAGGCAGCAGGCGCGACCCCCGACCGCCCAGGTGCTCGACCCCGCCACCGCCGCTGCCGCCGCTGCCGTTGTCTCGCCTCTTCCTCTCCAGCGTGCGCATGTGGAGGTGGAATTCTGTTGGTGGTGCAGTCCGTGGGATCGTATGCGCCGCCTACGGCGCATTGGCCACATCTCAGGTTTTAAAACTGGCACGCAAGTGCTCCCAGCCCCAGGCCTGGGGCAATAGGGTGCTCGAAAGGCTTGCGCATGGCCGTGCAATTTACCGAAGTAAGTGGATCACGTCGAGATGCGGCCCTTCGATCCCCATCAGT